TTTTGGTGGGAATATGGAAAAAAGGGGGCTCGTAGAGTAAGCGTAGGGGTTTTAGAGAGCGTGGAAGAGGAGGGAGGAAGAGGTGAGGGGAAAAGGGAAGGTGGAAATGGTCTGCTTATTTTCAGGTCATGGGACTCGCGGGGGGAAGAGAAGCCCATTATTTTATGTAAATTAACTCATTATCGGTGTTTAGTTTGGCGTGGATGGGACGAGAGGATGTGCTGAGGCTGAGTAGCAGAGGGGTAGATGTGTAGAGTAGGTGGGTGTGAATAGAGGAGAAAAGATTGCCAGTGGCCCTAAAAAGATTGCTAATGGCCCTAAATTGCCCTAAATAGAGATTGCTAATGGCCCTAAAGCAAAGGGGTAAATGTGTAGAATAGGAGGGTGTGAATAGAGGAGACAAGATTGCTAATGGCCCTAAAGAAATCCCACAATAGCACTTTAAGGTCTAGGGGGCCGTCTGCCGAGAGAGGGATTACGGCCACTCTTCCTCTTCATCGCCTGCAGGTTTGTGTTGGCGTGGTCGAGTCCTGTCATGGTGAGGCCTCTGCGCGCGTTTCGGCAAAGGCACATAGGCCTTGGCGTTACATATTCTGAGGAGGTTGAGTTCGTTGACTTCTCAGATTCTGCTGTGTCAGAGGAGGAGTTTAGTTCTACCACCATCCGAGTGAATATACAAGAGAGGAACTTTTAGGTGTTTGAGTCCAAGGTGTGAAGGCCATGGCATTGCTGTGCCCTTGTGGAGGTCGACGGAAGCTTGGGTGATGACCGGATATTATATGTAAAATTGGATATTCCAAGGTATTTTCAATGGAAGGCAAGAGGCACTTATCCAAGTTATACTCAGAGTGACTCCCTTGATATTTGTTGCTTTCATACACTGGCAAAGGTGAACAACTTACCACCACATATATTATGCCAAGATTCAGGTCTAGACCTCCCTTGGGATCTGTCAATTAACCCAGTGGGCTTTTTCGGCAGCCGTGCGGTCTGCCAAACAGGTATATCTTTACGAGCTGCATCTGTAGGGTTGCCACCTGCAGCATTGGCGATTCGCCGCCATTGCATTATAGTAGATGCCACCCGCGAGCAAGGGGTTTAGAAATAAACAAGTTGAAGCTCCCATTCCAGCTGGTGCTATGTGCTAGGGAGTCCCAAAGGCGCGAAAGCCATAGAAGAATGTGGGATTTTTCCGTCCTTGTGGTTGTAAACATCATGTATATGGTTGTATATATATATATATATATATATATATATATATATATATATATATATATATATATATATATATATATATATATATATATATATTATATAATGTTGGTAGAAGGTATGTATTTGTATGAATACCATACTAATGGTTGGTGGCCTTCAAAAGTGCATATGTGTGGGATTTTCTAGAAAGTAATTATTATATGAAGGTAAATAGCAAAGCTTGATTGATATTCATTGATTTGGGCTGACGTCCCCTACTCACGCGCTCAAAGTCGGCACGCCGCCTTTGTTTGTTTAAGTGTAGAGTTTTTTTTTTGTTTTGTACGCCCGGCGCCATTGGGTTAAGATAATCATTTGCAATTTCAAATTATTATTCTATAGATGCCATTAAGTAAAGTTCCCAATTCCCTGTCATATAATTTATTCATTAATCTAAGTTGTCATGACTGAGCACTGCCTGAGGGGCGGGTTGATGGGGGGCACTGCCCGCAATACCCCCTAGGAAACATTGTCTTCACCTCAGTATGCACAGCAAGATAGAGTTGAATGTCAGCAGTTCTGAGTTTACTTGGGCTCTGAGTGGCACTTTCCGCGGTCTTTTTCCTTTATTTGTGCTGTACTGTTCGTGTCTGCAGATTAATTCTTGTACCGACACCTTCAACTTTTTGTCACTTTGTCATTGTCACTTTGCCCCAGCTGAGTGTGTCCATGCCTTAAAGATTAACCATTGATGTTGCACACATGCATTGTCCATTGTAGAAGTCCTAGGCCTACCTGATCATCATACATATTTACCCCATTCCTTGCTTTTTTTTTTGGGGGGGGAATTATTTTGTTTACTGCTACTATCACTGCTCAATTTGTTTTTATTATTGTTGTTATTATTATATGATTACTACTGAAATAACAATAACAATAATAATAGTAGTCTAATAGAAATAAAACATTCCTGAAAAGTTTAGGTCAGGTAGGCTTCCTTTGGTATGAAAATTTGTATATTTGGTAAGAACAAAAACAAAAAAGAAATATATTTTTGTATAATTGTTTTAATTATTTTATGTCTCTTAAAGAGGAATAGGGAAGTATACTATAATAATCTTTTTTTGAAACTATCAGTATAGTTTTTAGTTTCCGCTTGAGAATATGCTGTCCATACCAGACTCTGAATACACAAGTTTTAAAGTCTCAAACATTCTCTCATTCAGCATGGACGGTTTCGGTGACAGTTTTGTACCACCTGCTGAGGGAGCTCCTGCCAATGAAGTGGATCCTGCCGCAGAGTTTTTGGCCCGTGAGCAGGACCAGTTAGCAGGCTTAGAGGATGACCTTACTGCACCTGCTGCTCAGACAGAACAGCCAGCAGCACCCATTGGTAAGTCGTAGCAGTGACGATGCTACACTTGCAGAATTGTTTTCATGGTTGTTTTTGATTTCTCGTACATAGAGGTTAAATTTTTAAGCAGGAGACATTGAAGTAAAGGAGGGATGGATGTTGGATGTTCCATCATCATATAATTTTATCATTTATAAAGACCCTAGAATGTGAAAAAATGAAAATGTGTCCTTTTGTGCACACATGCACACACGCACACACTCTCATCCCCACACCCCCACATCCCCATCCTACTTGCACACACATCCATACATATATACATGTATATTAAAATTTGAGCTGTAGTATACATGTAAGTATACATTTGATTTAAAAATGTATCAACCCCTTCTTTACCAACCAATATCTCACTGCATCACATGTTTCATTCCCACACTGCCCTGGTACTTTCCAGTGCTATAAAGCAGTTAGTTGTACATTTATTATTACCACTGTAAATTTATTCAATTTTGTATGATCTATTCTTGTTCCGCTACTGATAACTTCTTGAAGGTTATTTGTATAAAGAGAAGGATACTTATTATATCACAAATTTCCCAGATTTCCTCCCCATCTATAAATAGTGATAACTGATTTCCTGCAGGTGTCAAAAATTATGATAAATATCCCCCTGCACAGAAAGTAAATAAAATTCATAATATAAGCAGTAGTTGATTGATGAATACCCTGGAGGAGGTTTATCTAGAACCTATTCTTAAATTTTGGTACAACACTGGATACTAAAGAAGGGTCTTTCTAAAGGTATTTTGAGTTTTATTTGGTGTTTTGAATTAATGGACTTGATACAGGGTGGTAGGTTTACATCTGCTTATAATGATGGCAGGCTCAATATGGGAAAAGAAGGGGTTCATGTATTTGAGATCAGAATCCAGTTTTGTAAAGGCATGTTTTAAGATAAGTTAAGAAAAAAGAATCCATAGAAATTTAGTTAATTCTTTTGAATAATTTTCTAAGCCTAAGTAGAAATGACTTCATTTTGCAAATTTTTGCAGTTGCAAGCTGAAGTATTGAAAAAAAGTAGCCGGATGAAAAAAAAATGCAGTCAATCATTGATTGTAATAGTTTACTTTAAAGACAGATTCAACTTTGTAAGTGATAGGGGTCTTACTGTTATTGTTTGGTTATGTAAATTGTTTGAAGCAAATATTAGTCATGATGATGTGACATAGTCATTTAATGATGGGAATCTTTAGAGAAATATTATAACAAGGTGAGATGGAAATTCCAAAAAGGTTATAAAAATAAGTATTCCAGGAAATACAGTCCTTACAAAGTCTGTTACGTAGAATTCTTATGATATGTGTATCATGTGCCCTACATAAACCCACTCATTGAGAATTTTGCACTCGTGTATGAGAATGGTAGTTTGTTGTGCAGCATGAATAGCATGTTCTTATTAATAAAGTAAGCATTCTCACCAAAGTAAATCTGCCTGTTACTTATATTTCATATTTTTTATGAATTTTCATGTAAGGGATTGGAAACAGTCTTGACATCTTTAAATAGTAATGATTTTTTATCTTCTTGTCTCTGGTGAAATCTGAAATCATTTTGTGACAGTTTCTTGTTTCATATCTGAAACCATTGATGCATGGTACATGCATTGTCCACTGTAGTTTTTGTTTTGTGAATTTTGCTCAAGCACAAATGGTTCCACAAGTGCTCCAAGTAGTCATTTAGTAGACCTACCTGACTTGTATCCCTATTCCTTAGATTTTCGGGAAACCTTTTTGCTCAGATATAGTTGATACCATTACTGTTGTTATAATTACTTTTACTATTATTATTATTATTATTATTATTATTATTATTATTATTATTATTATTATTATAATTGTTAATGTTATTGTTATTGTTATTGTTGTTATTATTGTTGTTGTTTTGTTGTTGTTATTATTATTATTATTATTATTATTATTATTATTATTATTATTATTATTAATTATTATTGTTGTAATTATGATGATTAAGTTATCAACAATACTGTTTGCTATAACAAGTGAAAAATGAACCTCTATCCAAAAATAAAGGAAACAGTAAACATGTAAGACCAGCTAAAACTTATAATTGGTGACTAAGCACTTGTGGAGCCATCTATGTATAACCAAGATTAGTAGACTGAAATCACAGTGGCCATGGCATTTTTGTCCACATCTTTATAGCAATAGTAGGTCAAAGCTTATATTAACCCCATAGTATTTCTTAGAGAAGGTTCTTAAGACATGTCATGACTGATATCTGATTTCCCTTGCTTTAAATGTCAGTGAATCTGTTAAAACCACATTTTTCTACCCCCTTTTTCCTGTTTTATTATTTTTTTTGTTTTTGTTTTTTTGTAAGAATGGCATGACTGCATAATATTGATGTTTTCCTTTGTGTGTGTGTGTATAGA